GAATGGCCACCACAATCGCCAGACCTTAATCCAATTGAAAATGTGTGGAGAGAGGTCAAGGCATGGATTCATAAGAATCGAAAACCACGTAACAAATCTGATTTAGAGGAGGCTGTTACTGTGGCATGGAATGACATAGAATTTGATAAAATCCTCCACTTTATAGACTCAATAACAGATTGTGTAAAAGAAGTGATAAAAAAAAATGGATATGCGACACATTGGTAGATTATTTATATGCACATAAAAATAAATTTTTATTACATGAATAATTTTATCGTTGTGAAAATCGGCTTAATTTTGTGCGACCCCTCTGTACATTCATCTTAAAAAAAAAGATTCTAGTAACTTAATATAAATATGAAGTTATATATTTTCTTTTAATTTTTGAGATTGTTTGCTTGAAAACTAGAGAGTCTCTATTAAATTAATTTTTAATAATGTTAATTTCTGTTAAAACTTCTATAAAATCAGTTAAAACTTTTGGTTTATCTGTTTGAATTAAGCTGTTATTAATCTACTTTAGGTTAAAAACATTTTTAAAAAAAAATTTAATTTGAGATTTTTGATAAGATTGTTTGTTTCTTGTATAGAAGTAAGCAAAAATATTGTATTATTTTTATTATACCAATGTGCTGGAGAAAGAGAGATTTAACTTTTATATAGAAAACACTTTATAATATAGTTGTTATCTTGCAATAGTTAAATATTTCTTTTGAAATCTTCAATACTGTTAAAATTGAAAGTGTATGGCTAATTATAGTAATAAGTCTTTATATAATAGGGATAAAATAATCTTGGATAGTAAAAGTTCAAAGTATATTTCAGATAGTTTATTTGAAATATAATAAAATTCTAAACTTTTTTACTTTAAATTTTTTTTTCAAATTAATAAATTTTTATCTTTTTGTTAAAAAAAATAAGTATTGTTATATTGATTTGAAATCTCTTGAATTATTGAAAAAATCAAGTCTTTTGATAAAGTAGGAGAAAAGTAACAAATCAAAACTTGTAGAAAGCTTTAAAACTTTCTGTAACTTTGTTAGTGTCTATAAAAGAAATAAATAGAATTGCTTTAATAGGCATACATTTGTTGGCACTGAAAAATACTTTACTTTATCGATCTTAGCTTTGTTGGGTCTGACTCCATCTCTGCTGATTACATAACCTAAGAAGTCTATATATGCCTGAAAGAAAGCATATTTATTTAGGTTTAATTTTAGTCTGGCCTCCCAAATCTTGATTAGTATGGCTTGGATATGTATCAAGTATTCTTTCACTGTTTTGAAGTAGATAATTATGTCATCCAGATAAACTATCATGAATTTTCCAATGAATTTGTATAGCAGCATGTTTATCAAATGTTAAAACATTGCTGGAGTATTACACAGTCCAAATGGCATGACTATGAATTCATACAGTTATGGCAAAAAGTAATGATAGTCACATCTTCCCACAATTTACCATTCTATTTGCTTTGTTATTAAATTAAGTCAGTCTGAAATTTTAAGGTTAAATAGTCTAACCAATTAAGAATATATTTAGGTAAATTGCATAAAAATAATTTTGTTTGCCCTTTTTTTTTGAAAAATATCTACTAATAACAATGATCCATAATAATCACCAAGCAGTTAAGGTTTTGTGGCAAAGTAGCATCCATAGTCCAACTGAAATTTCTTGACAAATTGGTATTCCTTGTACTTCTATGAACATTATATTTCCTTTTAAAATAAGATCAGCTATATCCCTGAAATACACCATTCAAACTGTCTATGAAAAACTAATTCCACAAAGTATTGCCAGATTGAACAAATTATTAAGAACAATTCTTTTGTAACAGCAAGCAAAATCAAGACCAGACTCAAGAAAATACACTTAAACTTTAATATCAGTAAACATACTATACATACTAAGCTTAAAAGGCTTGAATTTCTTTATAGACTTCCTAGTGTGGGGATGGTTACGGCGAGTCAGTCGCTAATGAGTGATAAAGTTTGTGCAACGATAGTGTTAAATTTCTTTTAAAGATAGGGTTTTGATGAGGCGTTAGATTTGGCCAAGGTAAGTATTTTCTTTATTAAATTGTATCCTCCAACTCCCTTACATGATTACTTTTTGTCAGCTAATTTATATATTTTTCTCAAGAAAGGTTTCGAAACTTTTAGAAAGATTAAGAAAAGGTAAGAAATTCTCATATTTTCTCTCGCTAATTACATAATATGACACTAATTACATCATTATTACTCGTATGTTTCTGTCTGTTTCACTCTCTACTTCTTCGATGCGATACTGGGTCGATCGTCGGTCACGTGACCAAAACCGCGTTACCCTCCATTTTCTTCCCCTCTCACACTAGACACATTTCCCTTCTTATAGAACATGTTAAAGAAAACTGCCTGCATTAGACACATGATCATTGCTATTACAATTGGCACAAGATTGTATTTTCTGATAAGACAACACTACAGATGTTTTGAAATACTTGTCTTGCATGGTTTTGTGATGGAAAACCCTTAGAATCAATGGTTAAGCACCCCTTTAAATTGTATGTTTGGATAGCAATTAGCAAACATGAAAAATTGGCTTTAAAGTATTCACAGAAACTTAGATCATCATCTTTATAGTGAAATATTAAATAAATACCTTTATAATAATGCAACAGATCTATACAGGCATTAATGGGTCTTTCAGCAGGATAACAACCTGAAACATACCTCCAAGAATGTACAAAGTAATTTGCAAGCCAGACTTCAGGGTTGTATTCTGCCATGGCCTTTATATAGCTCAGATTTCAATCCTATTGAGAATATTTGGGCATTTTTAAAGCACAATATAGAAAAAGAATGAAAAAAATCATAGCTAAAAAAAAAATATGTTTCAAAAGATTTTTATTGCATTGGTAAAGGGAGAATGAAAGAATATTCTGGAAGCAATTATTTTTTTTATGATTCAAAGTATGTCTACCTGTGTTAAGATTGTATAGATATGGAAGGAAATTGTATAAAATACTAAAAATTTTTTTTTATTGTATTATGTTTAAGCTATTTTTTAAAAAAAATTTTTTTTAAATTAATATTTAAAAAGTCACATAATCAATAAAAAATTATTCACCATTACTTTTTGCCATAACTGTATATCCTCACAAATGTAACAAATACCATTATCTTTTTGTCTTTTTCATGCACTTTCACTTGCCAATAACTTGACATAAGATCGAACCATTGCACACTAGCATAAGTTTCAATTAGGTTGTCTACTAATAGTAAAGGATAGGCATCCTTTTTCATCACTGCATTGATTTTTTGATAGTCTATGCATAACCTAAGTTTTCCACCTTTTTTTGGCACTATGACTATTGGAAACAACCATGGACTCTTTGATTCTCGCACTAATCCATGCACCTCTAAGTAAGCTATTTCTTTTTTTATTAATTTTCTGATATCTGGATGGTTTTGTAGACATTTTGCTTGATTGGGCTTGCCTCATTAGTATCGATCTCATGTTCAATGATTTTGATATAGCCCAACTTTGATATAGATTGTGCAAACACATCATGCCCTTGCTTCAAAATGTCTTTTATCTGTTTCATTTGCACTGCTGCAAGTTCATCATCCATCTCCAGTTCTCAATCTTTTCTTTGATATTTACCTCTCATGTAGTTTCCATTGGTGTCAGGAGTTCTTTGATCAGTACTACAGAGTCATTTTTGAGTATACTGATATCAAAATTGATTACTGGCTTAATAATTTGTTCATCCTCATTATGGCTTAATTCCTTTAATACTTCTGCTTGAATTTCCTCTGTGTTGTTACTTGTCTTATTGCCTTTTTCAATACTCACCTCTTCATTCATTTCTTTTTCTTCTGGTAGTAATGATTCTTTGATCTGGGTGAAGTATATGGTAAGACTTAATCCCTCAGATCTTGTTTTATCATTGAACCCTAAGTCACTATATAACTCAGATTGTATGTCATCATTGGAATCTGAATCACTACATGACTTCCCCATGTAATACCCTTCTTTTTCTTTTACTTTCTCTTTCTTATATACGATTTCGTCTAGCAACTTATTAGTTTGTTTCTCATCATATTGTTCCTTATTGTCAGTTTTGTTAGCAGGCATCCTTTTTGCTTTGACATTAATAATTGAAACCTTGATTTTTCAATCCTCGTATTTCAGTATTAATTTTTGTTCATTAATATAGATTTTTGTCTTGATTTTTTTGAACCAATTGTTTTCTAAATCAGTATCTCATCCTTGGAATCAACCACTTGTACTGATATCAGGATCAATATTCTTTATATTGCTATTTTCAGGTTATTAATGTTTCCTAGTACTCTAGTTCTTATGCCTGTGATGGATATTATTATTGTTATTGACTTCTTATCAATTTTCAATTTCAGCCAGTCCATCAGTTTCTTTGAGATAATGCTTATAGCAACTCCTGTATCAATGACTGCCTCTACTCTAGTATCCTTGATTTTTATCTGGCATTTTGTTGCCATTGTTTTATTTTTTTTTTCTTTTATCTTTACCTCTTTTTCCTCTTTATCTTTGTCACAATGTAGTTTGTTTTCACCTTGATGAGGAGTCTGTGCATTGCCTTTGTTACCATTTTCCTTGGACCTTGGAACTGTAGCATTTGCTCAATTGTGACATTCGCAGATGCTATAAAAATATCTTTTAGGATGTTGTAGAACAGCATCTTTTCAATTTCTGACAGCCTTCTCTTTTGTTATGACTTTCTTATGATCAGCACTGCTTCTTCCATTTCTTCATTGATATTGATTAGTGGCTGGTCATCATTGTCTTCCATCCCATTGCAAACTTGATTCCAATGCTTTTTTTCTTTTTCCTCTTACATCATGATCTTTGCTGGTGTACACTTTCCTTTCAGCTTTCTTGTTATCTTCAACATCGAGGAATTATATTTCATTAATCTGATTGGATCCACTTGCCAGACAATCTTTTTTGATACAGTTTCTAATGATATAGCCCTTTTCATTATATATGAAACAACTTCACTCACTTTTATTTGTGGGCTTTGGTCAACTGCTTTACTTGCTTGCTTCTGATTTATTGTAACTTTCTTTCATTTTTCTTTACTTGTTTTAGTAGTTCTTATATATCATTTTCCATTTTTTGCATCCTTTCTGTTTTCTCGCTTCTATGATGCATCTCAAAACTCTTTTCATCTTTGAACTGCTTAGTTTCATGGATTGTCTCGATTAGCATGGCTGCATTTCTAACAGCAGATACTAATGCCATTCTTCCTTTTAGTCTGTTCGTAAACATATTTATTATGCAGATTTTTGAGTAGTTGATATCAAAGTCAACTCTCTTTAACAACTTCTAGAATCTATGAACGTAAGCCATTACTTTCTCATCATCTCTTTACTTCAAGCTAAACAGTTCTATTTGCCATTGGCATTACTGTTCCATCAATATAAAACAGTACAGAAAATTCAATACAAAGCACTTTTCTATATTTTTGCTTATTGTTCCAATGCTCTAGTTGGTTTTGGTAGTCTTTATACCAATCTGATGCCATGCCTTTCAGGTAACTAACTACCATTCTTAATTTCTTTTTATTCATTCAGTTGTTGGATCTTGCTGTCTTTTCATATAATTCCAGCCATATATACGAATCTTCTCATACCTTGATCCAGTGGAATTCTTTTTCTTCTCTTAGCTCCATCTTTGATTCCTGGCATGCTGGGTTTAAACTGCTGATTGAATTTGTTACATTCCGTGTAATACTGGTATCTCACTTTCTTTTTGCTTGTGATATGCTGAAATTGATCAGGTTTACTTCTAGATCATTATCAAATCTGAAATTTATTATTTTTACGTTTGATTCTGATCACCAATATGTTATAGGTCTTGTAACAAATCTTCACGAAGGTATCATTTTTGGCTTATTCTTGTTTTTCTTTTGATTGAACTTTTATTCACTATAAACTTCTCTTCTTTTTCTAAAATTGGTGTATTCTTCTATTCATATAATTTTATTAAAAGGGTGAATAATGATGTTGTTTTTAATTGAATTACACTGATCCTCCACCAAATATTATTGGTATATGGCAAATCTGTCACTAGTCTGAAGCTAAGGCTCACATAATAATAAGGATAGAGGTCAAGAATCACTTGCTTAATCAAAGATATATATTAATATCCTTCCTTATTTGTATTACCAGGCTAATCAAAAAAAAAACTCTTTCCCACAGCGCATCAATTTTCAAAAAATTGCCTTTTATAGTAATACAATAGGAAAGTGAACTTTTTACTCCTTCATGGGTTCCCAAAGGAAGGATATCACCAGGAGCCAACCAAAGGAACAAATCAAGCTCCTTGCTCCAGCTCCAACTGAACCAAAACCTGCAAATTTCACCTCCAACCTAATAGGGGAGACCACTCCATCACAAACACAAGAAGACCTCTTTAACATGGATTTAGACAACAACAAAGGACAAAACAATGATACACCAACAACCATGGCATCCTCCAGCACCAACGTTATCTCAGGATTTGCCTTAGACAGTGAGGACGACAATAGATGGATCCAGGTAAACAGAAAAAACAAAAGCAAGGCAAAAGAAACAGAAGAATCTTTGGAGAATAACCAAACAACAACGGAAACCAAAGGCCGTACTCCACTTCTGTTACCAGTCAACTGGAGTGAAGAGTATGGAAGACAATGTTTCAAGATGCAAACACCTTTAGCCAATATATCAGGAGACACAACTCAAGGCAAATCAATAACCTCAGTCAAATTCTTTCTTGTTTGGAATCTTTCAAAGGCATATGCACAACTATGCAAAATGACACCAAAATGGCAGTCGCAATGTTCGTCTCAGCAAATGATGTGAAAAAAGCCGCAAATGTTACAATGCATGATAATATGCAGATCACAATGGAACCCACAGCCTTAATTAATCCAATTTTGGCAAAAGGGAAGACAATCAGAACGTGGGACATACCCTTGCATGCTACAAAAGCACAAGTCACAGAAGCTTTTACCAAACTTGGACAAATTAAAATATTACATTAACCACCAATGGAATGTGGCAATCAGCCAACATCAAATTTACAAATCAAGAAGAGTACAATCGCGCCGTACAAAAATGGTCACATCCCTTTTTGACAGATTTAATTAGAATATTCCCATATTTAAATACCAATGAAATCAAAGCACAACGTAACCAATATATTTTAAAACTGTGCAACCTTCCACCAGGAACAACAGGTTACGACCTAAAACAAATCTTAGCAGACACCCATGCACAAACATGCTACATCCCCCGCACAAAAAACTATTTGCGCAAAAGATTTGCAGTAATTAGTTTTGAATCCATCGAACATAAAGAAGCAGCGAAAGACTACCAAGCCTTACAAGGTAACACAGAACTCACATGGCATGAAATGACCAACAAACTCTATGCAGTATGTCTTAGTCCAGATCATATTGCAAAAGACTGTGAAGAGCGAATAACAAGAGAAGAAAGATCCAAAATGAAACAAACCAATATCAAAAAATATCAACACCTATATAGCAGATACAAGCCAGCAGGTATATCTATAACATAAAAAAAATTTCTAAATAATACCAAACGCTTTCAACAAAAGTCATTTGTACAAGCAGTCAAAAACACACAACCACACAACAATAATTCCACAAACAAACACTCAAATCCTGTAGCACACATAAACAGCCAAGACAAAAATACATCACTAAACACGATACTTCAAGCGATTTTCAAACTTGGGGAAGAAATCAAAACAATCAAATCAACTCTCACAGATATGGATAACCGACTCAGTCATATTGAAGAAGATGCTTACTGGGCACACGCCACCCACAAAGAAGACGAAGCAAACTTTGTCGAATATAAAATGAATCGTAACACAACACCCGAGCCACAAATGTCAATACTAGAGGAAACCTTCTCAAGCCACCACAGAAAAAGACCAGCCACAAGTCCAATCCAAGATATTCGAGAAGAACAACAACAACTCCACTCAAGAATTGTAACAATGGGTGACACTTTACAACAAATCTCAACATCCTTTGGCTTACTTGCTGAAGAAAGTATCTCATAACCACAAGTGCAGTTAGAAGAACTACTCAACAACTCCAATCAAACATCTCAATGATAGCACAACCAAAAATAACCCAAAACAAGGAAACCTCAATTACAGAATTACCACAACAAGCCAATACCGATAAACATCACGAAACATCAACCCAACCTATATACCCCCAACAATAATACAACTATCAATAAGTTCATGGCATATCATTACAACCAATGTTCGAGGATTGAAATCTAATCCAAGCAAAAGCTTACTTTGGAAAGAATGGATCAAATATAACAATGCAGACATAACAATACTTACAAAAACCAATATGACGAACCAAGAAGGACAATTTTGGCTATACCAAGATTACCAAACAATTTGGAGCAGAGCAAGCTCACAAACCAGAGGCTTCGGAGTGGCCCTCATTATTAAAAAATATCTTTACAAACATGTTTACAGAAAACAAATATGACAAGATAGAATCATATCAGTGGATCTACTCTTCAAATATAAATGAAAACTCAGAATAATAGCAACATACATACCAGCAACTCCAGGAACATCACAAAACGAATGCGTCAAAGAAACAATTAGCCTAATCAATGCAGCACAGAACAATCAAGCTCATATTATAGTTCTAGGAGACTTCAACATGATTTCCAATCCCAGCCTGGATATACCAAATGCACAATTTCCACAGAAGAAACAATATACACTAACAGGAAAGCTTACACACTGGCTAACATCACAACAATTCATCGATACCTACAGATATATCAACCCCTACAGCACACAAACCACATGGACAAACACCAATAATAGCTGTAGCAGAATCGACCAAATCTGGACATCACCATCCCCACTCTGGTTACTAATAGACGCATACATCGAACAT